TGATGTCATATTATGTCCACATCATAAATGAATGACCATTGGCTGAAGATTGTATTTTTTATAACATCTTCAAATCATCTTACTTGTTGAACTTGTGTCTCTTCAAATATCTCCTTTCATCCTTCTCTCTTGATTTTCTCTTAGATTTTTGTTTCCTACAATGACATTTGTTTGGTTTGACCTTCGATACTTTTACCCTATCATCATCACCATCTGAAGACTCTGAGGAGTTCAGCCATAGAGGTCTCTCCGGGCCGACAATAGAACGGCCTCTGAATCCAAGATCCTCCAATGGTTTTGCTTCATTATCTGAACAAGAAGGGTAAGGGCCGGTTTCATCCATCCGAGACCCAATTGTCCCCCTTCCCCGCTTCGCTCTGCAGAAGAATTATAATTTGTTCAGCAGGAAGAGTGGGAAGAGCCAGAATTTAATTTCTAGGGCGAGTACTTCCATTGGATAATATTGTAAATGGAAATTCTTTTGAAGAAAAAAAAACCATGATTGGTTGGATGTTAGAAAGTGGTAATTAAATTCCATGAAAAGCTACTTTGAAGTCTGTCTATCTTTTGAAAACACTTCTACACAAGCATCCTGCCCCCCAGCTAGATTCACTTCCCAACCTAACCAAGAAAATGTTCCACCATCACCTACTCTCTAGCCGATCAAAACTCAACGACAAAATTGTGGGCTTTTTTAAACTTCAAGGGAAAGTGAGTACGTCTCACCCCACCAACCACTCCACAATGAATGACATATACCTAGGTAACAGATTAAAAAAATTACAAAACACATTACTAGAAGGCCCATCTCAAGATTTTCAGTGCCCAATGCGGTAATGAACAGGCCAGAACCTACATCTAATTGACTATACGGCGTCTATACCCCAATTCTATGGTAGGGGTTCTGAATGGACACTTAAATGCTCATTTAAAATTTATTGAAATAAATTGTGAGGGGGCAAAAGGAGCCTAACCTACAACGCAAGCTAAAATATCATCTATGCAATTTAATATAAATCACACACTGTGTATTTTCATTACATTTAGATCATTACAAGTAATTGAACTGTCCCAGTAATTAGCTTTTAAGCCTTTTGATCACCACCCTATCTAAGTCGGCTCTAATTGCCAGATCAACATTACAAAGAAAGTTGAAGTTATCAAGTACAAGGAAAAACAGAGAAAAATGCAGGAGATGATGAGTGCACTAACCTTGAATGCAAAAATTCATTAACTTCATCATCCCGCAAGCCTTCCTCCTCCTGCGCATAGTGATTGTTGATGTGTCTCTTTTTAAACGAGCATGAAGCACTTGAAACAGAGCCACCATCATTGTGCTTCTTACCACTGACCCTAGATTCCACAACACCCCTTTGATTATTTGCACTGCTATTCTCATTCCCCAATCTACGTTTGTTCCTACTCTCAACATCCAACTCTTTATGTCTTAATCTCCACATCTCATCTACTTCAACGGCTCGATTAGCTGCAATGTCAAGACAACCATTAATATAAACCGAAAAGGAAAGCCACAACTACTTGTTCCATCCCAAAAAAGAACCCGGTTCGTAAACTTATATTTCTCCCAAAATATAGCTCCTTTTTTTAACATAAGAATCTAATTTGGTACTCATTATATATTTATATTTAAGTTACTGTTTTTAAAAAAAGTATTCAACACCAGTTATGTATGATAATAGTATATTTAGAAAAGCCAACGTACAAATAATAGATTATTTTCCAACAGTTGTATACTTGCATTTATAAAAGTTAAAGGTCTTTATTTTGTGAAAGGAGACACTGTTTTTTTTGGAGGGGGAGAATAAAACAACATAAAAGCCACAATGGTGAGGAAATGATTTCACACCACCAAGGTTGTCATGCTGCCGCCTAGTTGCCGACTAGGCTTCCTGGCGATGGAGAAGAGTCGACAAGGGAGATAGACTCGACTGAAGAAGATTAGTCACATGTGGCGTCGTCCAGCCACAGACCTGTCATCAAGGCAAAGTCCGAGTGTCGCGCCAAGGGAGATTAAAAATTTAGTGACGTCGTTTGTAGAAACCCAGCCCAAAATAAGATTTAAAAGTAGTAATTTGAAAACTAATTTAGAGTTTTAGAAAGTTTCTAAAACTCTCTGCCTAGGCAATATGGCGGTTGGTGGCGCCGCGTCGCCTTGACAGCCTTGCACACCAGGCGCAAGGTAATCTAAAGCGCTCACCCCATCGCTTAAGCGCAGCAGGGCCTCCAGCACTTGGGAGAAGGGGAGGCGTACATACCTGGGTCGGGCGCAGCATCAACGCATGAAGTGCTGGGAGGCGCACGCCTGGTTCGCATAATTCGGAAAAGGCTGACAAGCCTTTTTTGGTTTAAAACTTTCAAAAATAATTAGCACATATGACTGTATCTTTAATCACACTCAGCCGATCTAAATAATAGGGTAAAACCATTGAAACCTACGTAAAACCTTAAGTCAAGTATGTAAGAACGTGAAACACAAGCTATCATCGCTAGTCATCATTGCTCTTCAGTCTACTCACTCTTCTCACTCAAGCTGCTCTACACCGGCCAGTTCTTTCAGTTTTCTTCATCATCTCAAGCAAACTCAGTTCCCCCTCACAGCACTAAACAAGATATGTAACCCTCAAACCTATAAAGTTTGAGGGATTAGCTCGAAAAACCTAAGGCATCACAATGTTGACATTACGCTCATTTTAGAGTGAGAGAGAGGAGCGACCGATCATAGGGTGTACCAAATTTCTTGATCACTTTAATATTGAATCGGAGCTTCTTTTCTTCTCTATTTTGTTTTATTGTTCGTTTGATTGTTGGAAACGGGACAAACATTTTCATTTAGGCTTAAATATATTTTCAGTCCCTGCAAATATGACACACTCTGACTTAAGTCTCTGCAAAATAACTTTTTTGTTTTTCATCCCTGTAATATACACTATTTTGTTTTTAGTCCATATCTAATTCCGAAATCACTCTACTTAGGAAAAAAAATTATTGTCAGTTGCACAAATGAACTAGAAATATTGAAATTTGTCCTTTTAATAATATTTTGAGGCTAATATACGAATTAAAACAATGTAAAACTAAGTATTCACATTTTATAAATATATATTAAAAATATTTTAGAAATAAAATTAAATACTTTTTGAATAACATGACAAAGAATTAGAGAAGATCTACTAGCCATGAGTTAGGAGAGTGCATTTTTGCGCCTTGCGCCTCAGGCGATATGAGTACTTTGGCGCCTTGAGTGCGCCTCTTGATTTTAACTACAAAAGCATGGAAGAAATTTACCTTGTTGTATGCCAAGCACAGTTGCTGTAAGAAACCTTGAATTAGGGCGCCCCCTAACTGCAGGTTTACAAAGATAAGCAAGTGCACCCTCTTTATCGGTTTGCCGCCTTAACTCTGAAGCTTCTCTCAAAAGAATTGCAGCAATTTTATTTTCAGTTGCCAAATCCATACCAAACTCCCGCCTCCCTCTACTGGCAAAAAGAACAGAAAAGAGTAACTCAACAAAGCATATCATATAAAGAATTGATTCCACTTTTGATCCTATGAGTACTATGTCAATCCCATATCTAATCATTATTTAAATCGTCAACTTTTAATACATTACTATTGATTCTTGTCCATTTGGGGTCCTTAGGGCCAAATCTCTGACCTCTCTGATTATCACTGGGAATATCAACAGGTAAATATCGGCGGAAGGAGCATAGGCGGGCAATAAACAAACTATCATTTAAAGAATCTATAATGTTTACAAATTTAGTTACAGAACCTACGTGTGTAACCCTAATGTGGATGATAATTGATAATGCAGGCAAAAAAATCATAGAACGAGAAATAGGGAAACTACTTGTCAGTTTTAACAATGCATCGGAATTTATAATACATAAACCAACACGCTCCGGAAAAGGGGAACAACCCGATATACATAACCTGAAAAAATTCATAAGTCATAAAACATGAAACAAGAGAAAAAAATGGAGAACGTTACCGTGATGAGGTATACTAAGCCCTCGAACCATAAGTGGACAAAGTAGCAAGTGTTTATTCTTACCTTCCTTTTCGAATTGATGTTTGGATGGAATCGTATACCAAAAATGTTCTGAAAATTAATTAACTACCTAATTGATACTGTATATTCAATCATAATATAAATTTACTTGAAAAGATAAGAAGAATACGACACCTCAATTCTTCAAAACCCCTTCACCAATTAGGTTGAAGTCAGAATCTTCTACGAGTTGCTGCCTGCAGAAAGAGGCGGAGGGGACGAGCGGAATTGTGCCGTGTACGGCAGATGAAGAACGACGAATTCATTTTCAAATCCGGAAAACGGAACCGGTTATGTAGTCGGTTATTCTATTTAGTCACTGTGAGATGTACATTTGTATCGGTTTCTACCCATTTCAAAACTTGAAATTGCAATTTCATTGGTTGGGTTTGTTTCAATTTCGTTCTGTTTTCGGTTTTTTTACATAAAAAATGCAAACATACTAGAACAATTGAAATATATAAAAAAAAAGAGTAAATATGTAGATGAGCTAGAATTTGTGCTTCATTTTTATATTATTTTATTACAATTCTAAGCTCATTATTTGCCTAATTGAGAGGTTTGAGTTATATTGTGTGATAAAAATGATTTTTACAGGTGAGAACTTTAATTGAAGGATTTGAGGACTTTTGGACTAATTTGTGGAGATTTTTCCTTTTCTAAGGGTTGTTAAGAAATAAAAAGAAGTGAGTCAAATACTTTTTGTTTTGGAGAAAGCCAAAAAACAAAAGGAAAAAGAGGATTACTCCTCTTAATTCATACGGCAGCAGCAAAAGAAAAAAAAAGGAGAGCTAAAGCAGTCCAGTGGCGCACAAGGGAAAAGGATCCGATCCAAATTAAAAGAGTGCAGTTATCTCAGTCTCATAAGTTCAAACGACACCGGGAAATTCAGGAGATGAGCGTCTCTAGCGGCTAAATGATTGAACCCGTTGTACCCTTCGCTATAAAAACGCAGCAACAAGGGTTTTAAAGGGGGATTCTGGCTGCCAAGTTGGGAGAGCTGAGGGCCGAAGGAGGTAGGAGGAAGAGCCTGGGCTACGTGAGACTGTGCGTGACTGTTCAGCAAGGCTTGTAGCAATGGTTTGCTGATTCCCAGTTTAATCTATGGCAGCAGCACAAGTTTGTATTTACATTCTCCGTATACTCTAATCTTCTCCTGAAATTTACTTCTTGGAACTTTGATTTGTTATTGCAATTCGGTATTATTTTAAGATGGTTAGAACAAATTGCTACACTCTTATTGTCTTGGTTTATTTTTCTATGAGTAGATAATTTTCTAAGTCCGGATTATGATGAAGTTGCTATGATTTAGTATAAATTGTGATTTTAGTTAAGTCAATTGATTTAGTTTTATCCATTGTTCTTATTCACTTAATTGATCATGTTAATTTCTGGCCAACTTTAGTATGATTGATTAAGTTGTTTGAGTGGATTAATAGAGTACATGTCATGCCTCTTAATTCGAGCTCTTTTGGATAAAAGAATAGATAAATTGTCTTGTTAGGTTGTCTATTTGGTTCTTAAATCGGGTTTTCGTAGTTCTTTTGTGATTAATGGATTTTAACTATTGAATTGATAATTTCCTGTTGATTAATAGTTAAAGTATGTGACTTATTCTGGACGTCGTATGGAATAGTCATATTTTTGCCTAGAATGAACCCTCAATTTGAATTGACTAACTAAATCACAAATACTAAAAATTAGTGACAGATTCATAATCCTGGACTACTTTTTCTCTTGCTTAGTTCACAACCAAATTCTCGTTAGTTGTTTAATCAATTTATTTTAAGTCCTTTAAATTCATTGCACCCATTTTAATTCAAGCCTCACTTTTCAGTTTTAAATCAAACAAACTCAAAATTCATATTTTTAGTTAGATTAAATTTACTTTTATTTTTATTAATAGTTTTCCAATTATTTAGTTGCATTTTCCCCGTGGATTCGACTCTTACTTGAGCATTGTACTACCGCGACTCGTGCACTTGCGAGGACTATTATTAAATTGTCTATCATAATAGAAAACATACTTTTCTTTTCTTTTTGAAACAAAAATGTATATATTCTTATTTTACATTTTTGTGACTAGTTTGAAAAAAGTTCATGAATATATTCCTTCTGATCTAAAAGGTATAATTGAGATGAATATTTATTTATTTTGTTAATATAAAATTTTAGATTACATTAAAGTAAAAGTTACTCTAATAAGCACCAAAAACATATCACCATCATGTAACAAATTGCAAAATACATACGTAAAAGACATAATAGATCAATATAGCTATATTATTATTAGGAATGAAATTGCAAATGTATTTATAAACTAAACCACAAATATAATAAATTGACATTTAATATGAAACTCTGTTCTAAAAATCGTTCTAGGCGCCCGATTAGTCCCCGCCTAGGCGCTAGGCGGTGGTCAGGCGCCCCGATTTTCGTCTAGGCGCTCCGACTAATTGGTATGCCGCCTATGGCGCCTAGTTGCCCGCCTAGAGCGCCTAATCGGCCGCCTAGGCCGTCTAGATTCGCCGAACATTACTTCGCTTTTTAATTTTAATTTTCTAAGCGATATACATACTTTAACTTTAGTCATGGATATAAAGAAATGAAGTTGTAAATTAAGATAAAACTATGTATGAATGTGATAACATATTTATACTTATAACATAATGAAGTTAAGTGATCAGTTGTCATATATGGAGTACTACGTATGATTAAATGTGATAATTCTATCATTCATGTTTGTTAATGTATATGTATATATGTATTTTATGCACACAAAATACAATATTACTTATCATATTTATGCAAAAATATAGATAAAATGCAATGTCTATGTCTTCGATTAGTCCCCGACTAGGCGCCCGCCTAGCCGCCTAGGCGCTAGGCGCTGGGCTGGCGCCCGACTAGCGCCTAGCGCCTTTTAGAACATTGATATGAAATACATAATATGTATATCACAAAACATTAATTTCTAACATAAGAAAACCAAAGACTGTTGATGATAATATGATTAATGCTTAATGGATAACATATAAAATTTCACATTTCAAATAGTTCGGTTTATTTGATTTTGAAGGGGCGATAATATTGATGTAATTGCGGATGTCGGCCGCGAGTTCGATTGATGTCATGGAACTCAGCCTCCTCGCCCGCCTTGGAGGTCGTGGCATCGCTAGATTTCTCTTGTTGAACTCACGGATCCTGAAGGGCCTTAGCCGCAGTATTCTTGTTTGATTGAGTTTTTCCCAACTCAGAGGTGTTACTAGTGTCTGATAGAAATAGGGGTATTAACTTGATGGTTCTTTCTCTCAACGAGAGTACCAAATGATAGGTTGCTAGTAAACCGTTGGTGATATTGGAGAGAGAAGAGAGAAATATGAGTATAGAGATAAAGTAATTTGTATAAAATCAGATTCGAACCCTTTACAATTGTCCCTCAAGGGGGTATTTATACTAGTAATAAATGAGCGGTGCATTAAGTACACCTACACGAATTCGCTAATAATAATACATGGGCGAGAGAAATAATGTGTGTCAGAGTGCGACGCGTGTCATTCTTTAACTGACTTATGAGAAAATATCTTCTGTTGGCCTAAGTGAAGTTGGCCGAGGTGCAGGTGCACCTCAGACCTGTTGTTAAACCTGTTTCTGAGCGACTATGTCTAGGATCCGTGAATATGCCTGCCAAGGTGTCATATCTGAGGTGACTAGTACGGACAGTAGCCGTATTTCTGCATTCTGTATTGGGTTTGGTTGAAAGGCCCAGATGATGTCATGGTCTTCCGCCCCCCACGCAAATATGATGGCGTGCGCGCGTAGGACGGTGATGATCTCAGTTCTCAGTGATGCGGGGAGCTGCGCCCCGATCTTTAGAGTCTTCTCTGGCTTGGCCGGGTCTAAAGGGATGTCTTCTACTTCTTCTATCGGTTCAGCCCTCGGCTTTTCCTCCTCGGTCCCCACCGTCATAACAATGGTGTCCACTCGAAGGTCTGGCTTGGCCACCTTTTTGGTAATCTTGAGATAGCACGATCGGGCAATCCTCTGATTCCCCCTGGCATAGCCTACACCATCAGTTGTTGGGAACTTTGAGGCATAGATGCCTCATGGAAATGATGGCCTCTAAGTCCTCCGGTGCAGGGCGCCCGAGGATGAGGTTGTGTGCACAGTTGAGGTTGACGATGACGAACTCCATTTTGAGCTTGGCTCTATGGGTCTCGTCGCCCACCTCAACCTCGAGGGAGATTGTACCCTCGGTGTTGATCGAGTCCTCGGTGAATCTAGCGAGGGGAGTCTGGATGACACGCAAGGCTGGTTTGTCGAGCCCTAACTGCCTGAAGGTTCTCATATACATGATGTTGATTGAGCTGCTGATGTCGATGTACGTGCGGTGGATGATGACGGCTTTGATCTCACGCTTGATAATGAGGGCATCTCGATGGGGCGAGAGTCCGAGGGCGAACCGCTGTTAGTGAAAGTTATGGGCTCAAACTTGGCCCTTTTTTCAAAAGGGAAGGGATACGGCTGACCTCCCCAATGTACAGGGATTCTGCCCACTTTTTTCGTTGGGTGGCCGAGTACCCCAGTGTTGCCTCCGGCAATAAGGGTTGATGTGATGCTTTTTGTAGGGGGACGACCATGGCCTTCGTCCTCATCGCTGAAATTTCCAATCTCACACTTTTTGTCGTGGTGGTCATTTCTTCTGATGTTGTTGGGATTGACGCAGGTGTTTGCTTTATTTTTACAGCCGTTCACAAACTGAGACAATTGCTGCCTTTCTATCAACCACTCAATGGGCGTCTAGAGCTGGTGGCAGTCCTCGGTGTTATGGTCGGCATGCCAATGGAAAGGCAAAATGGCTCACTAGGAATGATAGTTAGGACATCTTGGGACGCCTTCAAGCCCCGCTCCACCAACTCATGTTCCTCCACATAGTCAAGGATGACGCTGATGGGGTGGGCCAGGGGGTGTGTGGTTGTTCAAGGAGCACTATTGTGCCAAGGCCTTCAGGTTGTACTTGTAACCCCCCCCCACCGAATTTGGCTTGACTGTGTCGGGGTTTGTTGTTAGGTGGTGGATGCGGTTTTGGCGCTGATGGCTTTGATCCAGATCCCTGTGGGGGTTTTCCTTCTGGCTTGCATAGAGTCTCAGGGTGTCGGCGGTACTGATATACATCATCTGCCTCTACGTGCCTATCTCCTCAATGGAGGGCCCTGATGTAGTCTTGGGGGGATCAGTGATCAGGCTTCTTGAAAAACTGTCGGAGCGAAGGACGATCTGGAGGAGGGCCAAGAGCATTCTCTCATCTGCCCCATCAACCTTGTCCGTTTCCAGCCCCCATCGATCCAGGAACCCACAGAGGGTTTCATCCTTCCCATGTCTAACAGTGAACAGGTGGTAGAAATGTTTCTTTGCCTGATGCCTTCCAACGAACTAGGTCAGGAAACGATGGGCAAATTCTTTCCACGAGTTGATGCTCCCCTCCGGGAGTTGGTTAAACCATTCGTAAGTCGGGCCCTCAAGTGTGGAGAGGAACCATCGGCATATATATTCATCCGATGCCCCGATCATTAGCACGTTTTTCAAGTATCTGTTGTAGTTTTCCTAAGGGTTAGTCTTCCCCTCATATGGCTTGATGTGTTGTCCACTTTCCCCCCGAGAATCTACGCAGCCAGTACCTTTGGGGTGAAAGGCGTTCTAGTGTGAAGTGGCCTCTTCCCTTTGTCGCGAAGGGTCTGCCTTTCCTCCGCTCTGGACACTGAGCCCTTGCTCTCCTGGTTATGGGCAAGGTTGTGCGCCTTATCCCACAGTCAGTCTTGGACCGGCCAACGCTCCTATCCCCCGCATATTCTCTTGAGTGCATAAGTGCAAGCCTGATTTTCGCTGATGCTTGGCTTTGTCCTAGGACTAGACCTCCTGAGAAGCGGTGTTTTGGGCGACGACCCCTTCATCGTTGCGGATGGCCAGGAACGAGGTTGCCGAACAGCTGTGGCGGAGGAGGGGGAGGAGGGGTGATGTTTTCGCCGGTCTGGGGGAGCAGAGCCCCGAGGGCACCAGAGTTTTGGGAAAGGGTGTTGATGAAAGCGAAAAACTTCGTGTGCACGTTGAGGAACGGGTCGGGGCGTCGGTTGTCCATTTCGATCCTTCCTTCAGTGAGTGCAAAGTTCGGTAGCGACCTGCTCCATTTCGGTGACAATGTCGGCTTCACCATTCTTCATGGATGCGGCGGCAGCGCCATTCGTCCCTTCAGGGATCTGGTGGGGTTCTTTGAGGGTCTTGGAGTTACCTCTGGTTCTTCCCATTGCTCGAAGGTGTGTTGTTTTCCGAGGGGAGGGTTCTCGATCACTTAATTGTTATAAGTCTCTCAACGAGAGCACCAAATGATAGATAGCTAATACCGGGATACCACTAATGGTATGTAGAGAGAAGGCATAGCTATTAAGTAGGAGAGAGAGAGAGAGAGAAATCATATAAATGAATATTCGAACCGTTATAGTTGCCTATGGGGGTGCTGTTTATACTAGTCCTAAATGCTAAATGCATTAAATGTACAGGAAGACTAAGCGGCGGTCACATCATATGAGGACAAGATCGCAAACTCGCGAGGAACCTTGATTTGAGGGTTTATTATTGAGGGGGGTTTCAATTGTACTATGGGTTGGTTTATTTTCTTTCTTCGTTATTTTCTTTCTCGTTATTTTCTTTGTTTCTTTCCATTGCTTTGTTTTTGTACTCTCTTTTTCATTAATAAAACATCTTTTTCATGGCAAAAAAAAGTACATACACGTGTAGGCTAGTTTATGGCGGAGGGTGCCCTTGTGGCGAGGCGTGCATGTGGCGCAACATTAAATGCAATACTTGGGAATTGAGATCTGTGTCAGGGCTTCCCCCTCGATGCCGAAGGCTGTGTTCCGAGGGCTAAGATGCGAATGACCCAGTTTTCTCGTGCGGGTGAACCATAGTGGTCCGCTATAGTATCGACCCCTCGGGCCTATGCCCGAGGGGTGTCCGTTTGCTTTATTTGGGCCGATTGTGGTTGTTGGGCGTGTGGAGATGACAGGAGTATGTAGACTGGGGGCCATGAACTCCAACAACAACAACACAACCACCACCACCAACAACAACAATAATAAAAGTGAGAAATCATGTTTGAAAATTTTCTGATCTGATCTGAATGTTTCTGGGTTGATATGAATGCTTCTGATGTGATCTGAATCTTTCTAATATGATCTGAATCTTTCTGATCAAATCTGATATAGTTTTAATCTTTCTAGTTTGATCTGATCTAATCTAAATTTTTCTAATCCGATCTTATCGAAACAAAATAAGAATAAATATTAAGTAATAAGAATAAGAAGAAGAGAACCTTTTCTAAGCTTTGAAGTACGAATACTTCACTAGGATACCGTATCGACGTATCAGAAACGTTCCCGTATCCGATACTCTAGGTTACCATACCGTACGTACTCGGGCAGTATCTTCAATTTTTAAAAGTTTCCATTTTTTGGTAATTATTTTAAAATTTCGGATACTCTTATCCTGACGGATACACATATCAATTGTTTTTAAAAAAAAACTTCCAAAAAATAAAATAAAACACACACACACAAACTTTACATAGTAAAATTCCGAAAAAATGAAAATAGTTTTTATCTTTCTTTTATGTGGTACACAACTAATGGGTCTATTCCTAATTTACTCATCCTCATATCCCTAATTCTAATTATCTCTTAAAATTAATAGCTTCAACGGAAATATGCATTATATGTTTTAAAATATTTGTTTCTATCTTCATTATTCTAGATTTTTGAGTACTTGCACTTTTAATTTCAATACTGTTATTGTTTGACTTATTTTTTATTTTAAATTAATGACTTATTGACTATATTTATATTTTAAGGTGCATTAGTGTATATGAGATAAAATTGGTAGACGTCGGAGGATAATATATGTGCATTTTTTCAAAAAAAAAATGTATTTTTAATATTTATAAATACATCCCTATAGCTTTCAATATTTATAAATACATTCACATAACTTTTAATATTTATAAATATGGCTTTATATCTGCATCCTACTTTTTTGTTTTGTAATATCCCCGTACCCGTTTCCTTGTAAGTGTTAAATTGTTGGAGAAAGAAATGGTGTAATTCCAAAATTGGGCGGAAGGTGGATGGGTCCTGAGTTCCAACGGCTAGTAGGAGAGAGGTATGAAAAAGGAAAGAGCCCCAACCAAGCGAAGTCTGCTGCTTCTCTCTGGAGCGGACTAAAAAGTAACCAAACCAAGCGTTGAGAGCAAATTAAATTAAAATGGTGGAGAGATTTGGTGAGGGAGAAGACGAAGCGTTCTACGAAACGATCGAGGCCCCCAAGTTCGTTGATTTCACCTCTCCTCATCATTACCGCCCCGACGATCGCTACTGGTTCTGCCTCCGCGTGGGTACGCATATATTATTATTATCCCCCGATCTGCTTCACCATCTGCACTTCCTCTTACACTGCTTCACCTCTCGATTCTGTTTCAGGATGTGAACAACAACATGAAGACGGGATGGACTCTGAGAAAATCTACAAGGATTTCGTTCTCCGGGTTTGTTTCTACTTGCATCTGATTGTAAAACAAAATTGCTATATTACTACTATGTATGATTGATCCAAAAATAATACAGGTCATGGCTGCCAGAAGTCCCAATATAATGCTTCAAAAGGCACTCACCAGAAGAAATGCTTCCAGGTATGTATTGCAGATCATCCATGCTATGTTTGCAACCCGGAAAATGAAAAACTTACTTGGATTGTGAACAAAAATTTTATCTTTATGCAATATATATATATAGGTAAAAATGTTTTCCCTAGATTTTTATTTCTCGCAAATCTCCCCTGTGTTTTCCTTTTCTCCCTAGCTAAAATTGTTTTACATTAACACAACTTACTTGGCCAGAAACATCAAGTGCCCAATGTCAGTTCCTTCAAAATTTTCCAACCCAAAGCTGCTGCCGGCCATTTCTAGGAAATTGGGATATGAGGAAGTTAAACCTCCTGCAAATCCCATCTCCACCCCAAAGCCCAAAAGAAGGCAAGTTGCAGCAAAATACCTCAACACCACCCCAAGGAGCAAAAAGTGTCTCCCGGGCGATAGCCCAAGTGTTCAACGTACCACAGATGCATCCTCACACAATCGGAGAGCGGGGAAGAAATCTGTTGAGTTGAGTACTCCCCTTACAAATCTGTGTGAAGGGATGAAGAGGCTTCAGATCACATCTCACAAGAAGAAGCCTTTAGCGAACCACCCCGCTCAAGGAAAGTCAAGTCCACTAGCTAATGCAATAGAAGTTAAAAATTCCAAAAAGAATAATACAGACTCCAGGGCTCAAGATTCCAAAAAAATGAAGATTTTCAATTCTGCCAAGTGTAATACAGAGTGCAACTTGATGGGGATAGAAGCTGTGGATTTATCTGGTGGGAAGCACATGGATCCAAAAACAGATGATCCTCCAAGCAGTTTAGTTCTCGAATCAAATGAAAATTCAGAGAATGTACAAGACCTCAACTGTCAATCTGAAGATTTCCAACCACTATCCTACGTGGAATATCATGAAATAGAATCCACAAAAGATGATAACAAAGAAAATGCTGTATATTCTGATGAAAACAGGTATAATGTCTGTGTTTCTTATAATATGTATCTAATCACTCTGTCAAATACGAAGTATTATATAGTTGAGCACACATATTCTTTTTGTTAGAAAATGATTTGGTTTATCTATCTGAATATCTTAACAGAGCATTAAATGATGATGACAACATGCAGATCAAAATTCTGGGTGAACGGATAAATACCATAGAAAAGGTTTTTTTTTTTTTAATTCTTTAAATTTTCAAGGGTGGTGATTAAGTCCTGTTTGTTTATTCAGGACTTGAGGTTAACTGGTGTATTGATTGTGATGTGTGAAACCAGGTCGCTCAAACTGGGGATAAAAAAATTAAAGATTTCACCATTACTACCGCTGGTGTTCGTCCCTCAGGACTTAAATTAAAGAAATCGAAGCCTACAACCCCCAAGCCTTTCAGGCTACGAACTGATGTGAGCATTGGATTAAGATTGCTTTGTTAGAATGTCAATATTATTTTCTGAAGGTTCATCATATTGACTAAACTTTTGGCAGGAAAGAAGCATTCTCAAGGAATCTAACTTTGAGAGGAGAGGTCAGCATCAAGACCACTTACATAGAGCAGATACTCGAGTGAGTAATACTTCGTTTCCAACTATTCTACTCTGAAAAAAACTCTTTTCAGGGTTTATTTGTTTCCACAAGTCTAACTAAACAATTTCCCAGAAAATGTTTCCCATGGGCTTCTCCTGGACACAAGTTGTTCCAGGGAATGACTTGAACTATAAAAATAAAAACAAAAACTTTATATTTCTAGGAAAACGGCTTTGATGATGGGAAGTTATTTCCAACAGAAATAGAAAGCATACAATTGTTAAAGCATGAAGGAAAACATACTTCCTCTACACAAAGGGAGACTAAACTTGTGTACTTATATAGTGCATTTGAATGTATTACAAGAGCATTGATTTATACCAGGACGGTGTGGGAAAACCACGAAAGAGAGGCCCTGATGCTAACAGCAAAGGAAGCGCCAACGAATCTGCAGACTCTAATGGCAATTTGATTGTAAGCTATTCATTTTTTTCAGATTTTTGTAGTCTTGTCTAATTAGTCTGCCTAAATTTAATTCACCACATTTATTATTATTTTGTAGAAAGAGGCCAGAAGAACCAACACGTCTCAGTGCAGTGTAGGATCAAAGATAGTCAAAGCGACAACAAAAATACCTAGTAGTGCTTCCACAGTAAGGAAGGTTGAATCCACACTGGAGAAAAAACAAGTTATGTCTCAAAGGTTAGTAAGACAACCAAGGCTTTGTAAAAATATATATAGTTCCTGGACTTGCTTAGACTTCAAATAAATGAAGTAACTGTCATGGATTATCATCAATCCCACTCTTTGAATCCGAGATTGATGATTGAACAAACCTGGTCATAAAGATTTCAATCAGACTAAGCTACATACCTACATTGCAGGTCTTGTTGTACAAAACACACAATAGTGATTTCTGGTATAAAACTTGCAACCATAGATGAGAGTTGTTCAAAAAGGACCAAGACAAGAGGGGTGAATGACAATGGTGGTGCTATGGCCATTCATCAACACACAACTTCATCTCTGAGGTCATTCTCACAGAGAAGAAGACGACAAGTGACCGACGACCATCCTCCCCAAGGAGGAGGAGCCCACTTCCATACCAGCAGTCATGTCCCAAAGAGTTGCTCCAAAAAGATATCATGATATTAATCCCATCTTGTGTTTGGTCAGTTGTCTATTGAAATGATCAGAGAACCAGAATTATGTGATGTTCATATTAAATTGGCTCTTAACATACTGTATCGTTCTATTTAAGAGAGAATGTTGTTTTCGATGAATTCTGGTGGCAAATTATATGTACAACCAGAATTTTTGTAATCAATTGCAAGTTCTAGAATAATACTTAGGTTGGGTATTTCATTTAGCTTTCTCTTCCTGCGTGCTTCTACGTTACTTGCCGGCTGTGCTTCTACATTACTTGTTTCTCTCTTCAGCTCTTCTTCTTTTTGGCATTAACAAACTTTTGCTTTTATTTTATATTCATTTATTATGGAAAAAAAAAAGGATGACCCCCCATCCCTCAGGGGCCCCCAACACCGACCGGACGGCACGATGGGAGGATGTAAATTGGATTATAATCACAATCTGACAGATAGAGAGCGGGACTCTGTCTCCGGTACTTGCAGAAGCCCTATGCATTTTTCAGCATAGTAACCCCTCATCGCAGTTGCCGGGATTCGAACCCGAGACCAACCCTTGTGGCACTCCCTCGCTACCAGTTGAGCTACGCCCACCGGTATTATGAAAATGTACAATATAAATGTGGTGAATTAATGTCCACGCTTGTTTTGGTTCAAACAACTAAACTAGTTTAGGGGGCTTAGTTAGTACAACGGACCAAGGTTTTCCTAGGTTTTTCCGGCGGCGGCCTTTGGCTGTGGGTTCGGCGGCTTCGGCCGAGTTTTCCGGCTGCGGCCTTTGGCTGTGGGTTTGGCGGCTTCGGCCGAGTTTTCCTGATCCGGCGTTTGGTGCTTCTCTTCCGGCTTGGCTTTTGGGCAGGAGTTTACGTCGACACGGAGTGAAGGTTCCTATTGATTGCAGATTTTATTTGGGTGCAAGGCAGCTTTGTTGATTTGGATAGGGGCGCTTCTGAAGACGATTGATATGGGGAAGTAGGGCTTGGACATGGAGATCGGAGGAGTAGCGATGGTAAGAAGGGGATTGGCGATGGCGCAGATACGGAGAGCCGAGCAGTGATTGGTGCATCAACAATCGTCGCGAGAGTCAGGCCTCCTCCAGAACCACCGCCAAGGGTTGATCGACGCGTTTTGGAGATTGCTTATATTATACCTTTTCTGCAGTTTAATTTGCAAGCGGTTAAGACGTTTGTGTCTTATTGTTATTTTATTTCATGCTGTAAGACTCTTGCATTAGGTTTGGGTTTTGAAAGTTCTACGGTAATCGTCATTGGCTTTAAGTTGCCCAATCTCGGTCTAGCGAGTTATACTGTTTTCTTACAGGTGATTAACTCTCAGTCTCGGCCACGGGCGGATGATTACATGTGGTTCTTTTATTATCTTGTACCCTTGCTGAATGCTATTTCTATGAATTAAGCCACCTTCAATAATAAAAAATGTCCACGCTTGTTTTTTTTCTTTTCCCATTCAATCTTCCTGTACAAGTTACGTAGTACAACTTAAGTTTTTGTTTTTAGTTTGTGCATTATAAATATTATAGGTATTAATGTTGTATTTTTTTAATTTTTAATTTTAAGATGAATTTTATTAATTTATTAATTATTGTGCGTTAATTATTTAACATTGTGCTAACATGAGTTTTGTGTTACACTAAATGTGCACGAGTAAACATTATAAAAAAACACGATTGAATTTTTAACTCAAGAACGACAAACTATAAATTACTTTTAATGTGTAATTATTAAATTTTTCATTGGTATATAATGATAGTTTAGTAAATTATTAATAATGAATCTACTATGTGTGCACATTATATATAAGAGTTTATGTTATACTCAAATAAGTATCATGCTTAAAAGAAATTCGCATATACAAATGAACATTTGAGCATATTAGAGAATTCAAATGAGCTTTTGAATTTTTGGTACTCATTTTTTAAATTTTGCATGTTCATTTGATACTGATGTTATGATCATTATGTCATGTAATTTTGTTTATAGTAAGAACCTCAGATCCGATTGTTTACTTTTGGGCAGTAAATTTTTCGTTTATTTCACTGCGTTTTTCTGCCCGAAACCCAACAGTGGTATCAAAGCCTACAGTTCTTTATTATATTCGGGTTACCTGATTTGATGTATAATCTGTAATTTGATTATTTTGGGATTTATTTTCGGAATTAATTTTATATTAATTTCGGAATTATTGATTTATTAATTTCGGAATTTATATGTGTATATTATATTCCGGATTTTTGTAAGGATGTGATATTCGAATATTTCGAATATTATATTCACAATTATATTTGGAATATTTTGTGATATTATTTATTATTTTTCGGATCAGATCTGAATGGAATTAAGAAATTGATAAAATCCTACTGCCTAATTATTCAGAAGAGATCGGACATGAAAATTCAAGAATTTGAATTAGATCCGAATTGATACTCATAATTTATGTTTATAATATTTTATGATATTGTTTATTGGTTTTCAGATCAGATCTGAATGGAATTAGGAATTGGATAAAATCCTACTGCCTAATTATTCGGAAGAGATATGAATGGACATGAAAATTCAATAATTTGAATTACATCCAAATTGATACTCATAATTTATGTTAAGAATATTTATGATATTTTTATTATTTTTTCGGATCAGATCTGAATAGAATTAGGAATTGGATAAAATCACATTGCATAATTATTTGGAGCAGGTCTGAATGGACATGAAAATTCAATTTTTTGAATTAGATCATGTTTTATATTCAGAATATTATTTTGAATTTTGTGAGATTTGGTTTCTAATTTTTCGGATGAGATCCGAATTATTTTGGCAACCGCTGGCTGATGAGCTGTTTTTGTGTATCGGACAATCTTGTTTTGGCCGTAACTTTTGACTCGTTAATCCATTTCTGGCTTATTAGTACTTTTCGGAAATGAGAAGACGATCTCTACACAAATCAAGGCAAAGCCTTGACAAATTCTCTCAGATTATAATTCGAATGGTTTAACCAAGTTTTCTGCCAATTTTGAATTTTAGTTCATTATATTTTATTCATTCTTATATATGTGTATATGTATCTATATTACGGATATGATCTGTATATGTGTGTGTATGTGTGTGTGTGTGTGTATAATACGAATTATTTTGGAATTCATTAATATGTATGTTTATATTTCGGATGAAATCCAAATGTATGTTTTTATATTATGTTGTTTTATGGCATGTGTGTCATTTTTCCCACTATCCCCTGTAATGTTTTCAACCCCGTAGATTAGAGGTGAGCATGGGACGGTACGGGACGATTATTTCAAAAAACTTGTCCCATCCCAAAGTATGGTTCTTGTAAAATCAAAGAACTGGTACCATCCCGAATATATATAGAACATGTCCCGTTCCGTACCAATTTTGGGTATGGTTCGATACGTTTCTTCGGTGCTATTCGATTCGTAAATAATTAACTCCTAGAAAGTCAAAAATATTTTTAAGTTTTAACATTAATAAGTATACAAAAATTGAAGAGAACAGACTGCAAGATTAAAATCAAACATAACTGAAATACAAAACTAATAGTCAAAACAATAATAAAGTAAGGTAACATTCAACTAAAACTTGTGTTGGCCACCAACACAACTTTTTTACTGCGATCAATCCTTGAGAAGGAAAAACTTAATGGAGTCTAGCTAAACAAAATCTAATAAATATTCGAGGACGAGAAAGGGAAGGACTCGGTATTGGTGGTGAGGAAGAGGGAGTACTACCACTGCAACGCCACCAGTCCCTCAAGTTCACCCACCACGGCACTTTCTACTTCATCAGCGGCTTTGCCGATCATTGCCTCAAGGGCCAAAGGCTTGCCGTCACCGTCTGATTTGTGTGTAATTTTCGTTTGTATTTGTACGTTTTTAATTAGTTTTGTGATTTGGTAGTTTGGAAATTACACACTTTTGGTGTAATGTGTTGTTTTATTTAAATTGTGTTTAGATTAGGATTTTTTTCTGAGCATAGGACGGAGTAATGCTCTCAAAGGATCAAGAAATGGATGCCAAAGACCAAAAGATGTGCAAGGGAACAAGATCAAAAATTGATTTGGAAAAAAGTTCATATACCCGATCGGGCATATGCAATACCCGATTGGGTATTGAACCGCTTTTATTGTCAAAATAAAATCTGGGAAACAAACAATCGTGTCAGAAAAATATTTCAAGATTTGGTCCCATACCCGATCGGGTAGACCGACACACCCAGTCGGGTATGGGTTGACGTTTTCCATTTCCGGGAAACTACTGAGTACCCGATCGATTACCCTAAATACCCGGTCAGGTATATGATCCTGCCACCTCCATTTCCCTATAAATACACCCATTTTCCTTCACATTAAAATCATCCCTTCTTCCATATACTTAAGCTCAGTTTAGAATAGTTATTTCTTATATTTTTATAGCATGTTTAGTCTCCAAATGAGGAACTAAACTCTCATTTCTTGGTTTTGCTCTTGAAGCTTGTTGATTATTAAAGTTGTGAGTTATTTTCTTAACTTCTTCTCTTGATTATTAATTCATCCCTTACTCTCATTCTATATTAATGTTGGAGGGTTGCTAAGTGACGATTAGTTAACGTTCCGACATTAATTATTACTAGAAACGACCAACGAACCGATGGTTAATCGTTGATGGTTTCATAAGTAAGTAACTTCGGTTTATTAATGCACGGTCGTGGTTAATAAACTTAAGAGGGATTAATTTTGTTGGTTAAACCGAAACCGTTGTGTTAAGGTTATCAATCTGAATTGGTTTCATCAAGGAGTTAAAAAGATTAAATGGTACTATTAAATCAGTATACGACGTTGTTCTATATTTCATTAATAGTAAGGGTTGTTAATGAATGGTTGTTGTTAATAACTACCCTCGATGAATTGGATATACTCCTCGATTGAATATTCGAGAGGAGATAAGTTATAGATATAACAAGGATCGACTAAAATATATCAACAAGTGGAAAGTAGCAAAGCCAAGTTCCTTTTATTCTTGAACTAAATCTCATGTATGTCGTTCATCTTTGTGTTTAATTAAATTAAATCACTCAATCCTAAAACCTCTCTTTATTTACTAGTTTTATTAAAAAGAGATTCATTCCTTTCCATGTGGATACGAACTCTACTTCACCTATACTACGTATAAGTGCTATTATTGAATATTATTTTGACGCACTACGACGAAGTGCTCGTCAAATTTGGCGCCGTTGCCAAGGAAAGGCAATTAATT